CCACCATCACCACCACCATCACCATCATCATCACCACCATCACCACCATCACCATCATCACCACCATGACCATCATCAACACCACCATCATGATCACCATCATCACCATCACCACCATCACCACCATCACCACCATCACCACTGAGAGTCTGGGTTCAAGCCCTGGGTCTGGGTGTCTCTCACTCAGGGGGTTCACAATGGCCGTGTCAGAGACACTGAGAGTCTGGGTTCAAGCCCTGGGTCTGGGTGTCTCTCTCAGGGGGTTCACAGTGGCCGTGTCAGAGACACTGAGAGTCTGGGTTCTAGCCCTGGGTCTGCGTGTCTCTCTCTCTCAGGGGGTTCACAGTGGCCGTGTCAGAGACACTGAGAGTCTGGGTTCTAGCCCTGGGTCTGGGTGTCTCTCTCAGGGGGTTCACAGTGGCCGTGTCAGAGACAATGAGAGTCTGGGTTCTAGCCCTGGGTCTGGGTGTCTCTCTCTCTCAGGGGGTTCACAGTGGCCGTGTCAGAGACACTGAGTGTCTGGGTTCAAGCCCTGGGTCTGGGTGTCTCTCTCTCTCAGGGGGTTCACAGTGGCCGTGTCAGAGACACTGAGAGTCTGGGTTCTAGCCCTGGGTATGGGTGTCTCTCTCTCAGGGGGTTCACGATCGCCGTGTCAGAGACACTGAGAGTCTGGGTTCAAGCCCTGGGTCTGGGTGTCTCTGTCAGGGGGTTCACAGTGGCCGTGTCAGAGACACTGAGAGTCTGGGTTCTAGCCCTGGGTCGGGTGTCTCTCTCTCTCTCAGGGGGTTCACATTGGCCGTGTCAGAGACACTGAGAGTCTGGGTTCAAGCCCTGGGTCTGGGTGTCTCTCTCTCTCAGGGGGTTCACAGTGGCCGTGTCAGTGACACTGAGAGTCTGGGTTCAAGCCCTGGGTCTGGGTGTCTCTCTCTCTCAGGGGGTTCACAGTGGGCGTGTCAGAGACACTGAGAGTCTGGGTTCTAGCCCTGGGTCTGGGTGTCTCTCTCAGGGGGTTCACAGAGGCCGTGTCAGAGACACTGAGAGTCTGGGTTCTAGCCCTGGGTCTGGGTGTCTCTCTCAGGGGGTTCACAGAGGCCGTGTCAGAGACACTGAGAGTCTGGGTTCTAGCCCTGGGTCTGGGTGTCTCTCTCTCTCAGGGGGTTCACAGTGGCCGTGTCAGAGACACTGAGAGTCTGGGTTCTAGCCCTGGGTCTGGGTGTCTCTCTCTCTCAGGGGGTTCACAGTGGCCGTGTCAGAGACACTGAGAGTCTGGGTTCTAGCCCTGGGTATGGCTGTCTCTCTCTCAGGGGGTTCACGATGGCCGTGTCAGAGACACTGAGAGTCTGGGTTCAAGCCCTGGGTCTGGGTGTCTCTGTCAGGGGGTTCACAGTGGCCGTGTCAGAGACACTGAGAGTCTGGGTTCTAGCCCTGGGTCTGGGTGTCTCTCTCTCAGGGGGTTCACAGTGGCCGTGTCAGAGACACTGAGAGTCTGGGTTCAAGCCCTGGGTCTGGGTCTCTCTCTCAGGAGGTTCACAGTGGCTGTGTCAGAGACACTGAGAGTCTGGGTTAGAGCCCTGGGTCTGGGTGTCTCTCTCTCTCAGGGGGTTCACAGTGGCCGTGTCAGAGACACTGAGAGTCTGGGTTAGAGCCCTGGGTCTGGGTGTCTCTCTCTCTCAGGGGGTTCACAGTGGCCATGTCAGAGACACTGAGAGTCTGGGTTCTAGCCCTGGGTCTGGGTGTCTCTCTCTCTCAGGGGGTTCACTGTGGCCGTGTCAGAGACACTGAGAGTCTGGGTTAGAGCCCTGGGTCTGGGTGTCTCTCTCTCTCCGGGGGTTCACAGTGGCCGTGTCAGAGACACTGAGAGTCTGGGTTCAAGCCCTGGGTCTGGGTCTCTCTCTCAGGAGGTTCACAGTGGCTGTGTCAGAGACACTGAGAGTCTGGGTTCTAGCCCTGGGTCTGGGTGTCTCTCTCTCTCAGGGGGTTCACAGTGGCCCTGTCAGAGACACTGAGAGTCTGGGTTAGAGCCCTGGGTCTGGGTGTCTCTCTCTCTCAGGGGGTTCACAGTGGCCATGTCAGAGACACTGAGAGTCTGGGTTCTAGCCCTGGGTCTGGGTGTCTCTCTCAGGGGGTTCACAGTGGATGTGTCAGAGACACTGAGAGTCTGGGTTCTAGCCCTGGGTCTGGGTGTCTCTCTCTCTCAGGGGGTTCACAGTGGCCGTGTCAGAGACACTGAGAGTCTGGGTTCAAGCCCTGGGTCTGGGTCTCTCTCAAGGGGTTCACAGTGGCCGTGTCAGAGACACTGAGAGTCTGGGTTCAAGCCCTGGGTCTGGGTGTCTCTCTCTCTCAGGGGGTTCACAGTGGCCGTGTCAGAGACACTGAGAGTCTGGGTTCTAGCCCTGGGTCTGGGTGTCTCTCTCTCTCAGGGGGTTCACAGTGGCCGTGTCAGAGACACTGAGAGTCTAGGTTCAAGCCCTGGGTCTGGGTGTCTCTCAGGGGGTTCACA